TTCTTTGGCATTTCTGACTTAAGCCAGTGAGAATTCTTCCTCATTCTTTTTTACTCATTGCTTGAATTGTTGTTATGAGAATTTTTTTCCTCCAACTTGGATGATCTTTCAGTTTTTTTCCAGTCGTTTATACATGTAGATAACTAAAAACAGCAAAACTCTTAGTGATTCTGTTCCATGTCTATCTGTTCCCCACCTCCATTTCCTACCACACACCCCAGCATTCCCCTAGTACATTGCTGAACTATCAACAAAACCTAAAATAGACTAGTTTGTTTTAACTGTATTTTTTCCTTCCATTCCTCTTAAAATGTGTAGCAAAATGTCCCCAAAGGTAAGCAACTAAGAGAGTGAAGAGGAGGTATTCTCCCATCCCAGTTATTCAGTCCCAGAAGTATTGATTGGAAGGCACTGAATTTTCAAAATGACTTCCAGATTTAGTACATGGTAATAATTTGAGGCTTTCCCACATGGATAATTTAAATGTTCAGAAAATAAGTTATGTTATAGCTGAATGGGCAGCAAATTAGCCAGAATTTTAACTTACAAGATGCCTAGCAGTAGTGAAGATTAATGTGAAATACTAGTAAACAGCCACTGCTAGGGAAGAGAAGACAGCCATATGCTTTCAATGAAATCGTCAATTTATAATAGTATGTATATTGAAAAGGGAAAGTGGATCAGATCCTGTTAGGTTTGGTACCTTAAAGAAAGAATTAGGATACCGCAGGCTCAGTAACTAAAGGAATCTGCCCATAATTGGGGGGTAAAAGGTGTCTTGTAGGCAGGGAATAGCAAGATTTTGCTTGAATGTACACCTTAGAGTTGGGAGTAACAATACTTGGAATGACTATAGGAGCCCTCTCGACAGGTTTCTGAGACTAGAGGATTTTGTTTGGTTCATAATAGGAGATGAGAGCAAGCCAGTAGTATTTGGTTGTTGTTGAATCTTACAGAAATCTTGCGTTTGGTCGTTGGGTCTAGCTGTTGAAGCCAGCTGTTTGGATGTAACATAGTGGAAGCAGGTGCTTCTGCAGATGTGGCCCTCTCTAGTTGTCTGGCCCTAATATATCATTCATTCTCATATACTGATTTCTCTCATAAAATCCTTGTAACTATTACAGTCTAAGCCTGCAGACATTGCTGAAACTGGTTCCCTTTGATATTGTTTTCTTTGTAACAATTTCCTGTTTTGTAGATAAAATAACAAGCTCACGCTATGAGGTTTGTGCCTTCACCTCCCTGGCAAAGTAAAATGCCAGAAAGGTTACTAAACATTAGTGGTTCAAAATGAGAAATCTGTACATGTTATCTGCTTATAGGAAAATTTAAACTCAACTGGTTTAAATTCATTGCTTAGCCTGTTGCATGCTCCGTTGAAAACACAAACAAAAAACTCCATGATTCTTCTAGAATTTGTTATCCAGTTATTCCAGTGCCAGAATCCATCAGGCAGAACAGAAATACTCGCATTTCTCCTCTGCACTGTGGAGAAGAGGAAGGCTGATCATGGAAAAGGACCTGGTGAAGGTTTTTGCAAACCTAAGGATCTTTTTTCTATCTTTTATTTTTGCAAACTTAAGGAACTTCTTTCTGGATAATTCCCAGAGACATCAACTTTGCTGAATCTCAGTTGCTGGGATTTTTAGCAACCTGTCGCCACTCTGCTAAGAAAAAATCTTAACAGTGACCAGTGTGTGCGACTTTAATTTGTAAGTGAAAGTTACAGTGTTTCTTTTTTCTTTTTTTTTTTTTTTGAGACGGAGTCTTGCTCTGTCGCCCAGGCTGGAGTGCGGTGGCGCAATCTCCACTCACTGCAAGCTCCGCCTCCCGGGTTCACATCACTCTCCTGCCTCAGCCTCCTGTGTGGCTGGGACTACAGGCGCCCGCTACCGCGCCCGGCTAATTTTTGTATTTTTAGTAGAGACGGGGTTTCACCGTGTTAGCCAGGATGCTCTCGATCTCCTGACCTCGTGATCCGCCCATCTCGGCCTCCCGAAGTGCTGGGATTACAGGCGTGAGCCACCGCGCCCGGCCAAGTTACAGTGTTTCAAAAGTTGTAGGTTAGTTGTAGAGCGTTAAATGCAGTTTCGTTCATAGTCAACATTAAGTGCCCACTGTGTTAAACACTGTTAGATACTGTGAAAGAGAGAAGAATAAGGTGTCCTTAAGGAACTAGAGAGAAAGGGTGGATCTTTACAAGAGAGAGTGTTTTTCAGGAGCTAGAAGAATACATTATATATGTATTCAAATAATAAAGGGAAAGTACAAACAGAGTAGATAGGGGACATTTCTTGTAGGGGATCCAGGAGGACTTCACAGAAGAAGTATTATTTATTTCTATTAATGAATGAGAGTATTCATCTTCTCATAGAAGAAGCTATAATGATTCTATTTGTGGTCCTGACTGCCACACCCCTTATGATCATTAAGTTAATTTTAGAACCTTGGGAGGGACAGCTAGGAGGCAGAGGCTCTCGTTGCTGGCCAGCTGCCATTGTCAGTTTGAGAAGTCTCCAGTAGTCAGGAGGTGATGAGAGGATTGGCCCAGTGATTTTATTGCAGTTTAATTTCGTGACGCTTTCTTGAGTCTCTGCTATATATTAGAACCACTGTGTAGTGACTACGATAAATAAAACGATATCTCCTCCATTTACTAATTAGTGGAGGGTATAAACGCGCAATACAATTAAGTATAATATAAGGCAGAGGCCGGGCACAGTGGCTCACACTTGTAATCCCAGCACTTTGGGAGGCCAAGTGGGTGGATCACCTGAGGTTGGGAGTTCGAGACCAGCCTGACCAATATGGAGAAACCTCGTTTATACTAAAAATACAAAAATTAGCCAGGCGTGGTGGCACATACCTGTAATCCCAGCTACTTGGGAGGCTGAGGCAGGAGAATCGCTTGAACCTGGGAGGTGGAGGTTGCAGTGAGCCAAGATTGCGCCAT